TCGAGACCCAAGTGTGCCGCATGACGGAGTGAGCTCCCGTCTCTAGTTCCAGCTCCTGCCAACCTAGCCGTTCGAAAGCAAGAAATTGCAAGTAGATAAATAGGTACCGCTTCGGTGAGAAGGTAACAGCATTCCGTGCGCCTTGGTGTTTAGTCATGCCGGCCACATGACCATGGAAACGTCTTCGGACAGCGCTGGCTCTTCGGCTTTGAAACGGAGATGAACACCCCAACCCTAGAGTCTGACTCGGCTGGCTTTCGAGCAAGGGAACCTTTACCTTTAAACAAGTTTTAGTTTATTGTGACATCCGAATTCTGCCTCACAGGGCCGTCCTGTGCAGTGATATTCCAGTCTACATAAATAGAAATTCCAAAGCTTAAGGTGGGAATAGCTTTGCATAGAGATGCGCTTCCGTCCTCCCTGGTCCAGGCCTGACACGCTTAGCCACTGCAGCAAACCCTGGCTCAGTAGTGAATTAGGAGAGATGAGGGGTCATCACTGCTGTGGGGTGTGTAATTGATGATGTCCTAATTTCGTTCCAGGATCTGACATCCGAGCAGTGTTCCCTCTAAGCTGAGTTAGTGTGAGCTGGCTCACAGTTTTTCAGCCTCTCGCTCACACATTTTTGTCTTCGTTCAGGAAGGATTGCTCCAGAGCGAACACAGTAGCCCAATCGCTCGCTCACAATTTTAATGCCAGCAACTCACAAAATGGAATTTTTGCTCACAAGACTCCACAGCTTAGAGGGAGCGTTGCATCCGAGTGCTGGAATATGAGGAGGATTGTTTACAGAAGAGAGCGGAGCGAGTGGCCATTGGTGATGGACTGCTAGAAGGACCTGAAGAGATTGGGGGGGGGGGCTGAAATTCAGCTGGGGACACAAAGTCATTTGAATTATCTTGTGGAGGGAAAACCTGGAGCTAGCCTTGGTTTGGGAGGCAAATGCTGGAAGTGGAGAGTCGGGTAAGAGTTTCTTGAGGCGTAAAAGGACACGGAGGGACCAAGGACTGTGGAAACAACATCCGTTAAGTCGAGGACCTGCAAATGGCGGGAAAAGGAGACATTTGTTGTTATTGTGGGCAAACGTTTCAATGGACTTCGGCCTTGATGATGCACGAGAGGACTCATATAGCGGAGCGAGTATATAAGTGCTCGCAGTGTGGGGGAACGTATCCTTGTCATTCTGACCTCCTCATACACCGAAAGAGCCACGCGGAAGAGAAGCCCCATCAACGTCCCTCGGATGGTGGCCAAGGCTCCAGTCGGAGTGCCCCCCTGCCCCCGCACCAAGGAGCCCGCCTGGCAGAGAAGGTAAGCCAGTGTTGTGAGTGTGGGGAAGGAGAGCCCTGCTGGATCAGACCAGGGAGGGTCCATCGAGTGCAGCCTCCAGTCTCACACAGTGGCCAACCAAGTCCCCTGGAGGGCCAACAGCAGGGCAGAGGGGCTGAGGCCTTTCTCTGACGTTGCCTCCTGGCTCTGGGATTCAGAGGTTGACTGCCTCTGAACGCGGAGTTTCTCCATAAGAACAACAGAAGAGCCCTGCTGGGTCGGGCCAACCAATTCCTCTGGAGGGCCAACAACGGGGCACAGAGGCCGAAGCCTTCTCTTGACGTGGCCTCCTGGCCCTGGGATTCAGAGGCTTGGTGCCCCCCCCCCCCCTCCCCAAGGTCTTTGTTTGGAGCTATTTTCTGGGAACTCAATTCCTAGGCAGGCCTGGGCCCAGTTCGGCTTGTGACTGGTGATGCCAGAGGAGATGGGGATTCGGCCTCCCCCCAGCCACACACATGCCATTTTCTTGACCTGAAGAAGCCCTGGTGGAGCTGCTGTTTGTGCCACTTCAGTATAGCCCTCCTCTGTACATGCAGATTTCCCCAGCAGGGCACACAGCTCCGCAGAGCTTCTTCAGGTCAGGAAAACAGCATGGGAGTGGGTGGGGGGAGGCTGATTCCCCTCCTCCTCACGCGCCACGGGGTCCCAGTCTGGATTGAGCCTGCCGTTGCCTGGGAATTCCACCCACGTGTGTGTGTTTGGTCTGCCAGAAATGGACAGCAGAGACAACATGCACGTTCACAGAGTGACCATGACCGGCCCTTGTCTGACATGTGACTGTGATGAACCAGTCGGGAGATGCCACATGCCCTGTGCCTCCCCGGATGTACGGGAAGGGAGGGGAGAGGGACTTCACCTTTCCTCCCTGCACATTGAAAACCTGGCAGCCCTCTGAAAAAGTGGGAAGGTGAACCGGCGGCTGCCCTCTCTACGTGGCCCCGATCCACACCAGGTCCAGCACAGCCCCAAGTTGTCTTGGAAGGACTGACACAGACCCGTGACCGTCCAGCTCTCCTGCTAACTGAATCCTCTGTTTGTTTCCCTAGCAAAGCCCTACCGCTGGATCTGGCTGCTTTGTCCTATCTGGGGTGCAACTTATTTCCCCTCCGCCCACCTCCGCCTGGACCCATGTGACTCCCCCCCCCCAATGACCCACACCTTTCCATGCCAGAGGAGCGGGGCTGCGTTCCGGAGACCTTTGGCCACGGTGGCTTCGCTGGCCTTTACAGGCTGGCCCGATCCCGTCAGATCTCGGAAGCTAAGCAGGGTCGGCCCTGGTCGGTGTTTAGGTGGGAGACCACCCAGGGAGTCCAGAGTTGCTATACGGAGGCAGGCCGTGGTTACCTCTGAACGTCTCTCGCTTCATGAGGGGCCTCCAAAAGTCAGCTGAGACTTCACACACACACACACCCCGCAATGGTGCCAGAACATTCTTGGTTGGACATTATTATTATTTTTTTTTAAACAAAGTCAACTTTTAAAACTTTTTAGCAGTTACTTCGGTAGGAATCACTCCCAGTACTTCTTTGGAATTTGTTGGGGACATTTCACTGGACAAGTAATTCAGGGGTTGCTCTCTATTTGCTTGGGAAACGGCTGCCTCTCCAGACGAGGCAGCTTACAATTACGAAGAAGAAGAAGAGAAGAGTTTGGACTCATACCCTGCCCTTCACTACCCAAGGGACTCTCAGAGCAGCTTACAAGCTCCTTTCCCTTCCCCTCCCCACAACAGACACCCTGTGAGGTCGGTGGGGCTGAGAGAGCTCTCTTGAGAACTGCTCTTGAGAGAACAGCTCTGAGAGAAATTACTACTAATAATAATAAGAGATTGGATTCATACCCCGCCCTTCACTACCCAAGAGAGTCTCAGAGCGGCTTCCAAACTCCTTTCCCTTCCCCTCCCCACAACAGACACCCTGTGAGGTCGGTGGGGCTGAGAGAGCTCTCTTGAGAACTGCTCTTGAGAGAACAGCTCTGAGAGAAATTACTAAGAAGAAGAAGAAGAGATTGGATTTATACCCCGCCCTTTACTACCCAAGGGAGTCTCAGAGTGGCTTACAAGTTCCTTTCTTTTTCCCTCACCACAACAGACACCCTGTGAGGTCGGTGGGGCTGAGAGAGCTCTCTTGAGAACTGCTCTTGAGAGACAGCTCTTTTCAGAACTACGGCTTGCCCAAGGTCCTCCAGCCAGGTTCAAGTGGAGGAATGGTGGAATCAAACCCGGCTCTCCCAGATTAGAGTCCGCGCACTTAACCACTACACCAAACTGTTAAAAAACAATAAAATAAATGTTTTTAAAATGCAACATGTTACGGAACGAAACCAGTGAAAACAAGCCAGGGCCTTAGAACAGCTTCATGTAGGTGTGGTGCAGCACAGCGACGAAGATGTAAGGAAGTCCGGGGCCAGAAACACACCATTAAAACTACTGAGAGAGGGGGAGAAACCTTAATTGAAATCCGTCAGGAAAGCCTGTGCCGAAAGGCAAGGAAGGTAGGGGCCACGTGAGCCTCGTGGGGGAGGGTGTTCCAGGGGCAAGGAGCCACCACGGAGGAGGCCATGTATGTCTCTGGTCCCCACCTCCCTCACCTCCACAGGTGGGACACCGAGGCCAGGGCTTTGAAACAGGATCTCAGCAGTTGCTTTTCAGCGTGACAGTCTCATCTGGCGGTGTCAGGAAGTTTCGCCCACGGGAGATCCCGGGCTCAGCCCAACACAGCAGCTCCAGTTAAAAGTCCCTGGAGATGCCTCCCCGAGGGGTCATGTTGTGTTTAAAGGAAGGGCCGGCCTGGGGGGGGGGGAGAGAAGGTGGCCCCACACAGCAGCTCCGGTTAAAAGTCCCTGGAGATGCCTCCCCAGTCAGAGGGGACAGTCTTGAGTTACAGGAAGGGCCTGACTGGGGGGGGGGAGAGAAGGTGGCCCCACACAGCAGCTCCGGTTAAAAGTCCCTGGAGATGCCTCCCCAGTCAGAGGGGACAGTTTTGAGTTACAGGAAGGGCCTGACTGAGGGGGAACAGTGGCTGCGGAGGGTGTCTCTTGAACGCCAGGAGTTTCTCTCGCTATGGGGCACATGGCTCTGGATGTCTCCCGGCCAGTGTCCACCTTGCAAAGCCCCCATTGAGATCTTGGTCCTCTGGAGGTCAATTGTAGTGGTGGAAGATCTCCAGGTGCCACTGGGGGGGTTGGCATCCCTAGCCCCTCTGCCTGCAAAGACCCCCCCCCAGGGAATGGGGTGGGTGGACGTGGCCCAAAAGGGGTTTGTCTCCAGGGGACCTGATGACGCCTCCACCTTCTCTCCCCAGTTCGGCTTTGAGAGTGGCGAAGAGGACGAGGGGCCGGGGGGGTCCGCCCAGGAAGCCCAAGCTCAGGCCCTCCTGCAGCAGGCACCCCAGGTGAGTCGGATGGGGGGGCGGAGGAGAAGCTTTGGAGGGCTGGAGTCCCCCCCACACACATTCTGCCTTCCCCACCAAGCCAGCGGCTTTGATTCCCTGAAGAAGTCAGCCGTGACTCTCAAAAGCTCCAACCGGGCCACCCATTTGGTTCATCTTGAAGGTGCTCCTGGACTCTGGCTCTCTCCCTTGCCTGGAACGCGTCCTGGCAATATCCTTTTGTGGACATGGCTATGATGCAGAATAGTTTCCCTAGGATTTGGGGGGTGGGGCTTCGTAAAGTATTTTTTTTTAAGCTACAGAAAGTGCAAACCGAAAAAAGCATAATAAACACTATCTGTAAATTAGAAACAGAAACGTAGAGCTGGAAGGGACCTGAGGGTCATCTAGACCAACCCTCTGCACAATGCAGGAACATGACCCCCCCCCCCCCCCGGTGATCTTTGGTCTATGCCCAGAGGAAGGCAAAAGACCTTCAGGATCCCTGGGACAATCTGGTCTGGAGGAAAATTAGCACCCTCCCCCCCCCTTCCACAAGGACTTTGGGTGGATCTGTTTTCTGGGAACCCAATTCGGATTGTGACTGGCACAAGAAGAGATGGGGATTTGGCCTCCCC